AAAATTCACATAAATATGAATCGAGGTGTTGTCAGGCAGTTCTTCTATGTTTCTTATTTCTCCACTTAGCTGAGCCCCATAATTATGGAGCCACCCATAAATAAATTTTAAAGCCGTTAAAAACGAAATCCTCGACCCCTCTAACCACGTTCCTTTCCTTATAGAAACTTCTTTGTTACAAGTGGTACGAAAGTATCTCCATTTCCCCTTCCTGTCTAACTTCATTTCATGACTTTCGTCACACAATTTCACCTTCGGAATTATCCCAGCTTTTTGAAAATATTCAATAGACTCATCTTCTGAAGACGTCAATTCCCAGAGTGTAAGAACATCCATAATTGGACGAAAACAACACAAATGGAACAAAAATAAACAATGGAATAACTCAAAGCTTCCACGAGATAAGAAAGGAGGTTATGTGCTGTAACATTAGATAACAATTGAGGTTTCGTCCAGGCCTCCGTAACCGACAAGTACCAAGAACTCTTTTGAAAAATGAGCCAGTTGCAGGTGGCAAGGCGTTGGAGTAAGGCATTTTAAAAAGACCCCGAAAGCTAATAAGTATATATTCCAGAAACAAGTACTTTCGGGTCAGAATGATCCAATGCCTTAAAACTCAATATAAATTACGCGCCTTTGCTTGGAGTCCCAGGAACCAGTGGACAGTCGAAGGAAGTTGGGTCCCTATTTCGAAAATGCGGCAGAGTCTAAAACACTAGCTCATGTGCTCGGAAAATGTCCCAACAACTCCCTCCTCATAACACGTCGACACCATAGGGTCGAGTTCGAGTTGATGAGGCTTCTTAGAAAAAAATAATTCATCTGCTTTGACGAGGTTTATTGCATCGACTGCGAAGGCTCTAGTTGTATTTCCCAGGATAGGAGGGATGGTGCTGATCTTGGGCCTAACTGTCCGCTTTGAGAGCAATGACCACGATCAGGCGGGAGAAGTGGAAAGGGAAAAGAGGAACATCTATGATAAATGTATCCCTTTCCTGAAAGAGAAATTCTGCGAGACCTTCCGAGAGAGAGAGTTCACCGTGAGAGGCCTCTGGTTTGGGTCTCAGGGAACGATTCCAAAAAGAACAAAAAACTTCCTCAAAGAACTAGCTGTTGATGTTGGGGAGCTTGCGATATTGGCTGGGAATATTATCCTGGATGCTGATTCCCTGGGAATCATTCATCATCACTTATATAGTAATTTAACATGAATTGATGATGTCTTTTATCATTTATTTATTCTATTTTAAATTGTTGGCATTGTCTTGTCTTTTTGTCTATAGTTGTGGATATATAGCTTTTGACTCCTTAGACCACTCTATACTCTATACTAAATTAAAATCTCTATCCTTCTCCAACAGCTCTATCCTCTGGTTGCAGTCTTTCCTATCCGACAGAACTCAAGCAGTCAGCATTCCAAACCAACCCCTATCTTCCTTTCTTACACTGTCCTCTGGAGTGGCCCAGGGTTCGAGCATTTCCCCTCTCCTTTTCAATTCCTACATAAATGATCTTTCCAAATCCATCTACCACTGTTCACATCATTTATACGCTGATGACACCCAAATATATTTTTCCTTTCATCCTTCTGAGCTACTAGTCGCGTTCGCCAATATTCAGGCTGACCTAGATAGGATCAGTGCCTGGGCAAGTCTGAATAATTTAAATCTAAATGCGATGAAAACTCAGGCCATTATTATAGGTTCCAGTCCTATTCTTAAATCCATCTCCTTCCTTCCTCCTTTAGTCATCAACGATCATCCTGTCACATTCAGTTCATCCTTTAAAAACCTAAGAATCACCATAGACGAAAACCTCTCCTGGAAACCCCATATTGCCCTCATCTCCCGTAAGTCAATAGGTACCCTTAAGCTATTTCATCGCTCCCGCCACCTACTCCCACAACCCATCCGCAAGCTCCTTGTATCCTCTCTCATTTTCCCCCACTTTGACTACGGCTGTGTGGTGTACGGAGGCATCCCGATGGTACTCGAGGATAGATTGAAGCGACTCATGAATACGTGCTTAAGATTTGTCTTCGGTACATCAAAGCGATCTCATGTGTCCCACCTTTACGACGAGTTAAAGTGGCTCTTCCCTTCTTTCCGCAGACAATATTTCCTCGGATCTTTCCTATTCCAAACAATCAACACCAGACACCCTTCTTACATCTACAGTCTCCTACAGTTTAAACCCGTGGTCCACTCCCAGAAAACAAGATCCCGTGTTTCCGACCTTTATATCCCTTCCCATAGAACTAAGACGTTTGAATATTCCTTTATTTCCCGATCCACAGCCTTCTGGAATTCCTTGCCATCTGAAATCCGTCATGCCTCTTCCTTGTCCTCATTTAAATATCATCTTTACCAATTCCTTCTCACATCCCAAAATGACGTTATACAATAAAATAAATATTGTGAAATAGATTTTGACTGAGGTGAATGGTTGATAAAATTTATTGAGTCTTAATTTTAAAAATCAACCCATGCTTATTTTATTTTATTTTTATTTCCATTTAAATAATGTTGTTGTTTTTTATTTCGTTTTTTCTCAAAATTTTATTTTATTTTTACTTGTTTTAATTTAATTTCACTGAAGATACTGTATATATTCTTTAATATTGATTAATGTAATTTTTGGCCAGATGTACTTTTAATTTTTTTGTTCATATCTGTTATTCATAAGGGACCTTGTCCCAGAATAAAGTTTACTTTCTATCTATCTATCTTTCTATCTATCTATGTGTGTGCGATTTAGTGTTGGATTCTTAGCATTCAAAATTTGTCTTTATGTGTATGTTATGCAATGTTGATGGATCAGTGTAGTTTATTGGGCTTGATTTAGTTATTATTTTATATTTTATTAGACTAGTATTATAATGACGAAGGAAAACAAGGAAACTCCAAACACTAGAACAGAGGTAAGCTGCTTCCCATTTCTCAAAACTACATAGCGTTCCCACAAATCCCTTCTAAACCTTTTTTCCCATATACATAAGCAATTAGTAGGAAAAAAAATAATCTTTAATCATCTAAATCTCATAAAACCACAATTTTAAAGAAAAACATCGGCTTAACTTCAACCCCTGACCCCCATGGCAATATGGAGTGGGTTCACATTTCTTCCATCGAACTTCCGCCTCATGTCAAGAATATTCTCAGCCTTGGCCCAAATTTCAACATTCCTCCTTCTCAATCTAACAAACTTGCCCCAGCTCTCCTTACGGACCTAGAATATATCCATCAAGACACCAACTTGATTAATGATTAACGAATGGACGATTTCCCGAACCCAAATATGCAACAATATCACGAACCATCTCCAGCACCCACTTTCCATACCATCCCCTTTTTCATTACAATTTCTAAAGATCTTTCTTATGCTTGCTCCTTTCTAAAATTCCACAACCGAATCATTGTCACTTGTGCAGGCAAGGGTAACAAAACTGACATTATGGACTGGGCCGAGTACAATGATAAATTATTTCCACCTCTTTCCGACCAAACCACCTATTTTCCTCCAAACGTGACCCTGCACCATCTCTCACAACCAAATTTAACCACTACCTTCTCGATACTAAACAAATTAAAATTTCTACCCATACAAATCTCATTTCATATAATTCTACTACTCGATTACCGAAAATCCATAAACCAGGCAATCCTCTCCGACCAATCATTTCTAACATAAACTCTCTATCCTCAAAACTGAGCTAATTTCTCCTCCCTTCCAGCCAGTCTCTTAGCCAAAACAACCCATCGATGTAAAAAATTCCTTTCATCTATTTGAACAACTAAAATCCTTAAATATACCACCAAATTTCATCCTAGCCTCTCTTGATGTAGAAAGTCTCTTCACCAACATTACCACAGACCGTGCTCTCCAAATAATTGAAGAAAATTGGTCTACCATAGAACCACACACTTCCCTCAATCAATTCCTCCAGTCTCTCTCTCTCTATCTGTTGTAACTCTGGCTACCTTCAATGTTTTCAAAAAAAATTTACTCATCAAACTTCCGACCTTGTGATGAGTAATTGTCTTGCACCCGACCTCTCCAGCATTGTACTCAATAATCCCATTGACTCGATATTACCCCAATTTCCTGATGATATTTTTTTCATTAAAAAATATGTAGATGACCTATTATTAATCCTTAATCCTCACACTACTTCAAACATACTTTCTGCATTCAACTCATACCATCCTCGACTCCGTTTCACCATTGGAAAAGAATCAAATATTTCCTCTCTGTTCTCATTTCCAGAAATAATGATAAGACCTTATCCATCAGTTATTACACCAAACCTATCTCCTCCTATCGTCTTCTAAACCATTTTTCCCAGTATCCTTATCACAAAAAAAAACAGTGCAGCTAAAAATTGACCTTGTTTGTATTGACCCTCGTCTCTTATTTATTTTTATTTCATTACAAGCCATCATTTTTTAACTATAAGAAAAAACGTAGCTATTGTACACATGTTACCTTGAATATTTTATTTACCAAATGATTTGAATTTCTCAAACAAAAATGTTAGTTTTAAAATGTTACCCCTTCCTCTCCCTCGGACTTTGTTTACCTATCTTTGCTATCTTAATAAGCATATCTGGAAAGTTTATTTCATGTACCATCCATCACTATTTTTTCATTATTATGCATTTTCTGTCTTATAATATTATATGTCTTTTTTTGAAATTTCGGGAAATATCATTCTTCCAATTTCATATTCTTTATTTATAATATTGGAAAATGTTTCAGACTCACTTTGTCCATTTTTAAGTCCAAATTAAAGAGATAATAATTTGTCCTTCTTTTTCTGAAACTAAAAATTTCAAATAATAAGGACACACTATTATTCAGGATAATGAATAAAGTATATTACTTCCTAAAATTAAAAAAAAAAATCATAACTTTACAACTCTTCAAAATTAGGTTTAGGAATCGTTTAAATAATGTTTTAAAAATTAGGCACTTATATAGGAAATAGATCATAAAATTACTTGTATTTTCTGTTGTGATTGCTGCACTTTTTCCCACCTTTCCTTCACTACTTCCAGTTCTGTCAACATATTCTCTCGTTCCCTTTGGGCTTTAGAAAGCTGATTTTGTTGAAGCTCTGCTCTTTCTTGTAATTTTTCACAATCTTCTTGGAATGTTTCTTTTTCCTTCTGCAGGCGAGCCAGAATCATCTTTAATAAATTTATATATTTCAATCTATGTATGAAACCAATTGCTAAACATAAACACCTTATATGCCATAAAAATATGTAATATATTTTTATCATTCATAGGTTACATTTTAATTTGTGATATTGTCTTATTTAACCCTGGAGTAGGATCATGATATCTCGTAAAATATTTTCTTCCTGCAAGAATAATGAGACTACTCAAATTGTTCAATTTTTATTGAAATGGTTGCAACTTAGAATCATTGGTAAATTTTAACTTAATCAGTGTTGGGATTACAAATGATTTGAATGACATGCAGTCCAAAAATACATTAACTTATAACCATTTCAATTGAGGTTTCAGAAAAAAAATTTGAATATTTTTTATAGAAAAGAATATATTCAAGACATATTTACAGAAAATGTAAATAAATTAAATAATTGCAAAATAATAAGAAGATAAATAAATTAACAAAATAAACATTTAAACTTAAAGTTAAATTGAGTAAAATTAACAAATTATGCACAGACATATTTATGTATACTATTTACAATCAGTTAGAGTAATTCCAAACCAGGCTTTCCCCATATTTGGAGGAAAAGTAAGGGGCAAGAGATCCTAAAGCTTTTATCTCAGCGGTAATGCTGGAAAAAAAATTAGTAGTTTGTTTCATTGTCTATGTTTTCTGTTATACTTGACAAACATTTTATTTGTAGTAAGTAGAATAAAAATAGTTACAAATATTTTTTATTGTTTGAGACACATATACACCACACCTTAATATTGTCTTCCATTTTATTTTCTTATACCTCAATTGAAATGGTTGTAACTTAGAATCACTGGTTAATTTTAACTTGATATATTTTGGGATTGCAAATGATTCAAGTCATTTGTTCTTCGAAATCACATTAATTACAACCATTTTAATTGAGATGTTAAAAAAATAAAATAAAAATTATATTGATCTTTTCCATTGTTTGAGCTGGAAGACAATATTTAGGTGTGTGGTGTGTATTTGTTCAAACAAAATAAAAACCTATTGTCTTCTATTTATTACAAATAAATTGTTTGTTAAGTATAATATAAAACATAGAATATGAAACAAACTATTCAATGATTTCCAGTGGTGTAGATGAGAAAAAAGGATTAATATCTCCTGGAATCCTGCTGTTGAGGTATGGTATAATTAGTGGAGTGATCAGAAAATCTCGACATATCCACAATTTAGAACTTGGGTTTTTTACATTACAATAATAAGAAGTAAAAATACATCTTTTAGGTACATGAGTGAGTGAGCATGCACGTGTGGTGCTTCCAGGTAGTGGGTAGGTGAACTATGGTCCGGTGTGTGGCAGTGGATGTTTATTTGTCCATTACACTGCTTTCTCAATTACACATGGAGGAAACTAGGTTTGGAATTCTTCAGGCTGGTTGTAAATAGTGTATTTAAGATTGTCTTTGTTGAATATATTTATTTAACTTTAAGTTAAAATTTGTATTTTCTTATTTTATTTATTTATATTTTATCTATATATTATTTTGTTCATCTAAATAAATTGTTTTCTCATTATTACCATTGTCTTTGATTAAGAGATCATATTAATAATAATTAATAAAAACATTTAATTCTAGAATAAAAAATTGTTGAAGGGAAGTTGATTGACGATTGCAGTCATAGCAGTTAAAGTGAAAATAAATTATATTTATTTTACTTTGACTGCAATGACTGCAATCGTCAATCAACTTCTCTTCAACAATATCTATCATTAGTCAACAATTATCCACTATCAAGAAAAAAAAATTAAATATGTTGATCTGTTTAAAATTTACATCAAAGCTATTGACAATTGATATTAAACTTATCTCTTAATTAATATTCTTCTTCAAGCTATTGTAATCATTTTAATTGGTAGCCATTAGGATCAGTACTACCCTTAATGTTAGTATGTTCCATTAAAAAAAAATGTAATAAATTAATATTTTTCATCTTTTGAATTTCTAGGGAAATATTTTTTTTATTTATTCAATTTAGTATTTGGCAAACTAGACTTCCGTAATAAAATTATTATGGAAGACTAGTTTGTGAAAAATTAAATGAAATAAATAAATTATTTATGACAAAAAATTAGTGTTTGAGGTATCATCATAGACATTCCTAAGATATATTGATACTATATTATAAATAAAGGAAGGAGATGGTCCGGGGTTGCGGTCATATTAATTTATGACCGCAACCCCGGACCATCTCCTTCCTTTATAATGCAACGGTCAACTATTAAATATTCAATATATTATAAATAAATACCAATGCATTTGTATGAAACTAATTCAATAATATGAATTATATGAAAAATTGGTCAACAAAAAGAGTTTTTAAAAAATAAATAAATAAAAAGCAGAATTATTTCTTAAATATTTATAAAAATAATCAATTTACTAATATAGAAAGAAATTAAAACCACAAAGTCAAAAGAAATTGTAATAAGTCAGGTAGTCAACATCCTGTAATCCAACTCTCTTGAAAAATCAAGTAGAAGGTACTAGTTGATAGTTGTAAATTACTTTGAAGGATGCTGGTTGACTCACCAATTCCAGGGTTAAACTAAGATTTATAAACTAAAGATCACTCAAAGCTATAATATTTGTTCTTATAAAAGAAGTATTTTGTTAGAACATATCCTGTAATATCTAGGTATGTAGATGTAATGTTACAGTAACGCATGAATAACTGTGACAAATATTTCTAATTTCTCTTATCTATATATATAGTAAGAGAAAGTATTGCGATTGAGAACATTTTTTTTATATTTTAAAGTTAAAATATAAAAATTTGATATAAAATGACTCATAATGTCATGGGATTAAATCATGCATTAACAATAAAAGCAGAAATAGCCAAGCATCAGTTCCTAATAAAATATTGATGGCATAAATAATATGTAATAAATTCATAACTAAAATTTATCACTTGTAATATGTCAAATGGTTTTACTTTATTATCACTGAATAAATTAAACAATCACAAAAATATTTTTTTTTTTTAAATTACATAACTAATGTAAAATTTTAACTCAAAACAGAAAATCTTTTTTTTTCATAAAACCAATATATATATATATATATATATATTTGTTTTATATATATATATATATAATAATAATAAGGCTTAGCGAACCCGAAGGTTCGATGCCGACACCATCAATCGCTTGTTACACACCTCCCTCCACCGTTCGCCGTCCAAACCCAGTCCCTTCAGATCGGCTTTAATGCAATCTTCCCACCTTCGCTTCGGTCTACCCCTCGGACGCTTACCATTCGGCACAGCAAATATTAACCTTTTAGGAATTCTCTCGTTACTAAGCCCAACAACTTTACAAGCCCATTTGATTCGCCGCGATGAAATTACCTCAATTATATTACCCGGATACAGCTCACGCAATTCGGCGTTGTGTAACCGTCTGAACTCTCCGGTTAACTCATCCTTCTTCGGTCCGAATATTCTACGCAATACTTTATTTTCAAAAACCTTAAGACGCTGCTCATCCCTTAATGTAAGCGGCCAAGTTTCGCATCCATAAAGAACTGTAGGCAAGATAATTGTTTTATAGATTCTAATTTTTAAGTTTCGGGACAAGAGGCGCGAACTAAGTAGTTTTGTCACAGAAAAATAACAAGCATTCCCCGCCTTCAGTCTAACCTTAATCTCTTCTTCAATTTCGTTTTTTCTAGTTATCGTAGAACCTAGGTACCTAAATTTATCTACCTGTTCAAACATATTACCATCTATATCGATATCACCAGTAGTATCGCCATTTTTGCAGCTAACCATATATTTTGTTTTATCCACGTTTATTTCGAGTCCTAGTTCTTTACCGGCTTTCATTAACGTTGTCGTATTTAGTTTTATAGTTTCAACGTCTTCGCTTAGCAGTACCAGATCATCAGCATAGCCCAGCACGGATGTTGTCCCGCCCAGATCCAACCCTTTCTCGGTTCGCATTACCTCCCTAATGGCATGTTCTAATGCCAAATTGAACAGGACAGGCGAAAGAGAATCCCCCTGTTTCAAGCCCGAACGAACCTCAAATTTTTCGGACAAATTATTACCGATTCTAACTTTATTGAGTGTCTCCGTCAAGCACATCCTGACTAGATTTACTAGTTTTTTTGGAATCCCCTGCTCGATTAGAATATTATACAGTTTCTGGCGGTCAATAGAATCGTACGCCTTTTTAAAATCTATATACAGCTGGTGAACAACACCGTTATACTCCAATTTTTTCTCTAATATTTGCCGTAAAGAAAATATTTGATCAATTGTCGAACGATTCCGTCTAAATCCGCATTGGTAGTCTCCGATAATTTCCTCGGCGTATTCCGTGATTCGACTGGTTAAGATTAAAGTGAATATTTTATAACATACCGGAAGGAGTGAAATTCCTCGATAGTTATTACAATCCGTCCTCGGACCCTTTTTGTGAATCGGAATAAGAATAGATTCTTTCCATTCTTCAGGTAATTTCTCGTTCACCCAGATCTTTTTAACCAACCGATGTATTTTAGAAACTCCAGCTTCCCCGCATGCCTTAATTAGTTCAGTAGGAATATTATCGATTCCCGCTGCTTTATATGATTTTAATTTTCCGATAGCTACTTCAACTTCCTCTTTACTTGGTCCTTCTATTAACGGTTCAGCACTCTGGTACTCAGAAGGAGGACACAGATCATAATTTCCCGTATTTAAAATATTGTCAAAGTGGTCCTTAAACTTATTCAATATGTCAACCGGATCGGTCAGAATATTGTTATTATCATCCCTAATTCCAGACGTTACGGGCCCTACATATTTACGTGATCTGTTTATACCTTTGTACATGTCTCTTACGTTATTTTCGATTCTATTAGTTTCTATTTCAATTATTTTATTTTTAAGATACTCCCTTTTTTTATTTTTGAGCAATTTTGTCGTTTCGTTCTTTGAGGTTTGGAAGTATTCCAGATTATCTTCGCTAGGATTATT